TCCAGGGGTTTCTGGTGCAAGTTCCCCTTAGACTTGGGGTGGTAGAAGGGTAGCCCTTGTTGGTCGTCCTTTTTGGTAGTCCTTTTTGGTAGCCCCGTAATCAAGGAGGCAAAAGTTTCCTTTCAGAAAATGGTTCTGGATCCCTTGGGTATCGAAGGGCTAGAACGACGATTTGCCAGCCCTAAGTCTACCTCAGCTCTGGCCCAATGAAATGTACATGCTCATAGTCCATATTCAGTGAACCTGAACATACGGCTTTGTCTCGAAATAGGGGAACCCTTCGCTTTAAACCAATCCCAAGAGGGTAGCCTCAACAAAAGTCGGCAGAACATGCCAGAACCATATTATAGGCACCAGATTTTAGCTGGTCAGCCGCAATTCATGAGGTTATTTTCCAAAAACACGATCCCACCATGCAATTGCAACCCGTGGCCCGACTTATATACTTTCAGGAGAAAACTAAACGCAAATATCATGTCTGCTGGGCTGTCCTCAGATCGCCTGCTAAAAGTGAATAATGCTTACTGGGTTAAATTTGGACATCCGACTAGAAATTAAACAAAAACAGAGGAGAAAGCAGAACAAAAAGCTAGCACCAACTAAACACCTAAAAAGCTAACATCCAACTAACTTCAAGCTAAACCATCTAAAAAGCTGAGCATCCTTGGATAAACCAACGAAACACCTAAGGAACTACAGGGCTGGGAACCGCTGAACCGCTGGAATGAACCACCGGGGGCTACGCCAACCACCGGGTTGCACCGATCTCGGTGAGACATCGACCCCCCAATTTTCGCCGCCCTTTTTGGAGGCCAGAAAGATTGAGGACCTGAAGCCGGGTGCCCTTCACTTGCAGCTCGCGGCAAACCCACGTGGCTTGGATCCTCGACTTCGAGACCAACTGCCCGTTCCAGGCCACCCCTTCGGATTGTTGTTTTGTTCACGAAAGCATCGCGAAGGGTTCTTCCGTGCGGAGCCCTTGGACAAGTTACATAGAGCCAAGTTACATAGAGCCAAGTTACATAGAGCCAAGTTACATAGAGCCAAGTTACATAGAGCCAAGTTACATAGAGCCAAGATACATAGAGCCAAGTTACATAGAGCCAAGTTACATAGAGCCAAGTTACATAGAGCCAAGTTACATAGAGCCAAGTTACATAGAGCCAAGTTACATAGAGCCAAGAGAGCCAAGTTACATAGAGCCAAGTTACATAGAGCCAAGTTACATAGAGCCAAGTTACATAGAGCCAAGTTACATAGAGCCAAGTTACATAGAGCCAAGTTACATAGAGCCAAGTTACATAGAGCCAAGGTTAGGTAGAGCTTAGGGCTTCGGCGTTAGCAGCTATGTAAGTTAGTTTAGGTTTCTAAGGCGCCGGGGCGGGAGTTTGATCGTCGCTCGGGATTGCGACCCTCTGCGGAGATTCGCGTGGTCAAGGTTCAAAAACTGCGGACTTTTTACGATTTCTGCTGGCCGCGCGCGACCCTCTGCAGAGATTCGCGTGGTCGAGGTTCAAAAACTGTGGACTTTTTACGATTTCTAGCATGCGCGCGCAACCCTCTGCGGAGATTCGCGTGGTCGAGGTTCAAAAACTGTGGACTTTTTACGATTTCTGCGGTGCGCGCGCGGCCCTCTGCGGAGATTCGCGTGGTCGAGGTTCAAAAACTGAGGACTTTTTACGATTTCAGCGGTGCGCGCGCGACCCTCTGCGGAGATCGTGCGCGTCGAAGCGCTCTCGCTGTGGCGCCGTGCGAATTTGTCTTAGTCTCGGCGAACCCTCTGCGGAGATTGTGCGTGTCGAAGCGCTCTCGCTATGGCGCCGTGCAATATTCTTGCTCGCGAAACGGCCTTTGGAAGTTGTCTCGTGGTTTGCGCGCCTGCTTTCGCAGTCCCACGGTCGCGGGTTCGATTCCCCCCTGGTCCGCGGCAGCTCCGGCTTGAAAATCGCAGCTTTTAAGTACAAACGTAGTACGCGGAGCGTGCTCCTGCAGCTCCGGCTGAAAATCGTAACTATTAAGTACAGACGTAGTGTGCGGAGCGTGCTCCCGCAGCTCAGGCTGGAAAATCGCAACTTTTAAGTACAAACGTAGTACGCGGAGCACACCCCCGCACCACCGGGGGCTACGCCAACCACCGGGTTGCACCGATCTCGGTGAGACATCGACCCCCCAATTTTCGCCGCCCTTTTTGGAGGCCAGAAAGATTGAGGACCTGAAGCCGGGTGCCCTTCACTTGCAGCTCGCGGCAAATCACCCACGTGGCTTGGATCCTCGACTTCGAGACCAACTGCCCGTTCCAGGCCACCCCTTCGGATTGTTGTTTTGTTTTCTTAATATTATTTTGTTCAAAGGAAAAAACAAGACGAAGCAAACACCCTCCTCCTTCGTTTTTTTGTTTGTTTTTGCTTTTCGGCAACAAGCCAAAAAAAAACAACAGCAACTCCTGTCCTGCAGGCCCAGCTGGGCCAGGGTCCGCCAATTGGCCAAGACCTGCCCCGAGTCGGTGGTCAGTGAGCTGATGCCCTGCTGCAGGGAGTCCTGCAAATGAAACGAGATCTCCTTTCGTCTGGCTTGTTCGTGCCCGTTTTGGATACGCTTCAGAACCGAAACACGGGGAAAAGCCGCCCTTTTCTGGGGAACTGCTACCCCCCCAAAGAGGGGAAACAAACCCATTTTTGGGATGTGTTCGCCAAAACATGAGGCATGCCCTTCTTGGGATGGGGGTTAAAGGGGCATCCCCCTGCAACTACCCCTACCCCCAAACCGTAAGCCATAAGCCAGCCTCCGATCCACAGAACAAGCTCACATCAGCCCCATGCAACGTCTGAACTTCAAGGGGCCAAGAAACCGCTGGAAGGTTCGTTTCTAGCATTTCGCTTTGAACAGTGCCATCAGTGCCCGACCTCCCCATTAAAAGGTGGGGCCCTCATAGCAATTGGTGCCAAGCAAGGTGGGGCCCCGGGGTTCAAACCATTGCAACAACAAAGGTGGTTGATATCGACGATATTCTTACCCCTTAAAACTCCAAGCCCTGGGGAAGTTAATCTTTTACAGACATATAGCCCATGTTACCCAAAAAGTTGAAAAGTTGTGTTTTTAAGAGGTAAGTATTTACCAAAGCAATTGCATCATACTTGGGTTCCTTGCCATTCTTTTGCTGGGGGTTGAAGGAATCCTAGGGCCGCCGGGTGGTTGACGTTGGAAGGGGAGCGAAATTCTCGCAGTCAAGTGGTTGGATTTCAACCACTCAACCACAATATAGGGCAAAATCCAAAATGTTTCCCAACAACAAGCATGAAGTACCCCCACAACCGTCCCCACACCTATGTGACCGGCTCCTATGGAGTCTCCTTTGGGCCATGAATCGAGCCTGGGCCCTCACCAACAGCTCGTGCACCATGGCATCGCTGGTGATCTGGATGGTGGCTTGGCAGTCCCAGGCTAAGACCACGTGCAAATTCAGCGACATGGCGGCGGACTGGCGGCTGGATTTCCCGAAATGTTTCAAGTGGTCAGGTTTAGTGGAGAAACTACCACCACCTGAAATATATAACAATAGTAATAGTAATAGTAAAACTATTAATGATGATAATACTAAATAATAGTAATAATAATATTAATAATAATAATAATAATAATAATAGTAATAATAATACTAATAATAATAATAATATTATTAATAATAATAATTAAAACACAACAAATAGCTCAGGGGCGTCTTGACTCTCCTTGCCAACCACCGGCTTTCACCGCTCAGCTGCTTCAACCAACTGGGCTGTCCGCTTTCTGAATTCGTGGGTTTAGTGGGGAGACTCCCACGAAACCAACTAAAAACCTAAGAACATCAGGGGATGGCTGGGAACCACCAAGAGAAGTTTTGGGATTCTTAAGGTCTCCCATAGGAAAACCGTTCGTTCTTCACTGATTACATGCTTGACTTTGAGATTGGCCGATCTTGTTCGTCGTTGGGCTGCCTATGAAATGGGCTGAGTAAAGTTGCCCGGGGGACGGGGCTGATGTTGGCGGGTCAGTTAACGGGCCGCCAGGTGATCCGCAGGGCAATTTCGCAACCGCTGAACACCAATTCACGGACAAGTTGCCTAAGCTATGACTCCAAATCCGATTTTGCAGCCTGAACCCCCTGCTTCAAAGTCAGCTATATGGTTTTGTTGTAGCACAAAGCTTTGGATAGGCGTCCCACATGCCAGGACCATCAAAAGCTACTGGCTATAGAAATTTGTCAATGTGTGAATGACCAAGCTAAGAACAAGTAGCCTGCGCAGAGCAGCACAGGTTTCGAGCCAATACGCAGGCGAATCCAGGTGCCGCAAGGATCACGGATCCGCATCTGTCCGGGACCAACACACGGCCTTCTTGAATGGCAGCTGGAAACTGACTGGTTCGCAAAAATGCAACAACATAGAACTTCAACCGTTTCTCGCTATTTGCCTAGAAGTTTGGTTTGCCCCCGCAAGGAAGAAAGGAACGATGGACTTCGGCGGTACTTCATTTCGGCAACATGAAATGCCTGAGTTAAAAGCCAAACATGATGCATCCAACCACCCATCCAAACGATAATGTTTCAATCAAAAATCCTGGCACGCTAGACAGGGAACCTAGCTGGGCTGCTCAAAATGAATCCTCATCCATATTTTTTTACGGGAAAGCCACTACAAAGGAGAACCCTTGCGTAACCCAAGGTGCGGATCTTGTGGATTTGCCTTTGAACAGCCCAGACTAGACTAGGTCCTCCAGTACAGAGGTTGGACTAAGGGTACCAACTTTTTCTGTAGTCCATTTTAGTAGGGGAACCCCCACCCAAACAAAAAAAGGTGAGAAAGGGCACTACTGGGTGACCTAGACTTAAATGACTCCAAACCAGACACCCAGCCCAAAAAAAAACAACTATATAATGCCCGCAAAGGGGGGTGCAAGTTGCTTCGTCGCTGTGGCTACCACAGACACCGGAGAGATTAAGCTCGGAGGCCCAAGGCCCGGGC